CTTCTCCTCGTCTCGCGTAGGCCGCTTCGTGTGTTTTTTACCGCTGCAGTCTCAAGGGCAATCTGCCGTTTAGATTAGAGAGGCCTGTTTTATTACAAGGAAATCGACGGTTTATGGCGAAGTCAACGCGGTGAATAACACCTGTCTGTTTTCTCATACACTTGTCTGTTCTTATCAGGTAAGATTACAGAATTGTGATTACCGGGTCTGCTCGGTCAGCTTCCGGATGAGGAGGCATTCGTTCGACCAATTTACAGTAGATAACATTACAAACATTTTTAACAGGGTCCATAATAGTGTAAATAATGTTTGTTTTGGCAGTTATAACTGAATGTTATGTTTTCTACTTTTTTACATCTGGGAAGGCATTTGCCTTCATCAGATGGAAAGTGTCTTCACCAACAACTTAAGTATTTCTTATAGCTATGCAGGACATGCAAGCGAGCTAACACAAACAAGAACAAACAAACAAGTGAAATGAAGAATAAAATTGAAATTGTACAATATAATATTGTGGTGGTTCATCTTATAATTCAGTCTAGAGAATGCACCAGACAGCATCTAAGACCTGCAAAAATCTAAATGTTCTAGGGGGAGGCCCCCCAAACCCTTCGTGCCATTTCGTCCGCGCGCATTTTTCAGGGCAATCTCTATTGGGCTCAGGGCCATCTGTAAATTAGCTTAGATGGCCCACAGGGCCATCTCCCAAAATCCTTAATGTCATGCACTGATTATATTTCAAATATACAGAAAAAACGCTTTTATTTTTAAACACAATTATGAAACAAACTAACTCCTCCAACAGTGACATTTGTCCTACTTTATAATCCCCGAACGTCAACAAGCGCTCCGGTCCCAGCTGTGTGCGTCACTTTTTAGTGTCCCCGTTGTGTTTTGAGCTTCGTGCAGCGTTTTGTATTCACAGTGTTTCGTTTATGCAGCGCTTTTGGTAAATGCTGCACATGTTTCGACAAGTTGGTGAAGATGTTTCTTTGTTTGATATGTTTTGTGACATTTGTGTATTTCTATTTGCATCGTTTTTGAGGCTGCAGCGTGTTTCTCCTAATGGAAAAGTGTACGGTCGTTATAACATGTTTGCACCTATCGTCAAAGCCTGTTCGAAAAGTATCTTTCATCCTCTTTAAAAAAATCCCATCATGATCATTTTAAATATATCTTTCAACGATAATAGGAATAATGATGCCCAAAAATGATCAATCCCTCCAACATCTTAAAGGTCTCCTATTATACTGTTTTTCAGCAATATACAGATCATTGCAGCATTACCCATAATCCCCTCTGTTTCAGCCCTGTTTCCAAAGTGCTGATTCTCTGTCTGTTACTTTAGATGAAAATAAGGAGCCCCTCCCCACGCCCCTCTGAGAGAGAAACTTTGTTCCTGAAACTTTCAGAATGTCTTTACACAGAGGGCGGGGGACACATGTTGATGTAGAAGAGACATGAAGAAGAGGGGACACATGTTGATGTAGAAGAGACATGGAAACGTGGATTTTGCATAATAGGTGACCTTTAATCTCACATCCAGTAGAGTGCCAAATACTAACCGGATGTTTATATTTTGTTTGCAGTCAGGTTTATGGGGTGGGTACACGGCTAATGTTATTTTCCCTTTTTTGGCTTCCTTCCTGTTTGCACACCTGTTTTTATTTGGTCGCAGCAGCTTAGAAAAATGTATGGCTCTCTAAACTACTCCATCAGGGGTGCCAAGTTGAGTTTGCAAAAGGCGTCTAGCTGTGAGGGAATGAGTCCTGTTTTCCCCATGGATATTTAAATGTGAAAAGAAAATGTTAGGTCCCCTTTAAATGACCAATCATGCAAAATGCACTTTGTGATGTCTATTATACACAAAGATGTGTCCCCGGTGTGTCGGGGAACTCACGCAGCGTCAGAAAATAAAACCCTCTTCTTTTCCTCCGTATCCAAATCTCTAAAAACAGGGCTACAGCGGAGCTGATCCAGATTTGCGTCCGATATGACGTAATATCGTAAATGTAGGCTTCACACCCACGGCCCTATCGGAAACGTTGCTATCAGAAACAATGCCCGACTGTTTTGGACGTAATATGGTCGGTGTTTACATTAGCATCGCTAACACTCAGAGCTAACCTGTACTGGAGAGCATGTGTGTGAAGAAGCAGGAAATAAAAAGGAACTCACCTTGTGGTATAACCGGCAAGAGAGAAAGCCTTTGAGCTCCATACTGTTTCAGAGAGAATCCTTGATAATCCATGATATGGCGTTTCTTCACGGCAGTATTTAGTTTAGACAGTAGCTGCCGGGTCCCGCATGAGCACTTTTGAAACCGGAAGTGAAATAGAGGGATATGAGGCATGGCTAGAATGGGTGATCTGTTTGGTATTTTGAGCAAAACACTTCATAGACATGTTTAATATATATCTGAGACCTATGCTATTGCCTAAAAATAGCATGATAGGTGCACTTTAACTTTTAAGACACATTATTGAATTGTAATCAACTCCTACCTGCATATCAGAATCAGGTTTATGACCAAGTAGGGTTATACATAGGAGGAATTTGCTTCGGTGTATAATGCTGCATAATCAAAGAAAGAGAAAAAATGTGTAGAAAAAGACGAATATAGCTAAATTTGTAAAAAAAACATTTACAAGAAATTGGAAATGTACAAAACATTTAAATGCATGCCAAATACACACAATCTGAACAGGACATTCATAACTTTCTTGTCTTCAAACGGGAATATCGGGGTTATCCTTAATCATCATCACGCTCTCTAGAGATATGGGCGTTGTTTTGGACAGAAAGCAGGACGGAGCGGCATGCAGCGGCTTGTCTGCATGAGTCTGAAAGCCCCAAACATAAAGTGCACTAAGCCTTGGGAGGGAAACTGACATGGGAGAGCTCAAATGTCTGTGCACTCAATGAAAATCCCTAAAAACGGCTATTAGAGCGGAAGAACATCTGCAACTCTGTCTGGGTCTTTCATGTTTCATGTTTTCCCCCCAGTAAGAAAGTGTAAACTGTTTAAATGGTATATAAAGTGTATAGGGTTGGTATCTATTTGTGTGTTGAATGATACCTTTGTGCAAAACTAGGGGTATTGATGTCTTGATTCCATCTCTGGAAATTCATTTTTGTTTTAAATCAACCCAACTCCATTTAAGTTTCTGTAGTAACCTGATAACTTTACCGTTATGTAGATGACAAACCCAGTGTCATGCAGTCACTCTGGGGGGTTTAGAAAAACCTGCTTTTCAGGGCCAGATAGTATGTCATGTGAAACTGCGATAACTCAGAACAACAAGCCTGTGAAGCCAGGTCAGTATTTGGGAGGTGGATGTCTAACCAGAACTGAAAAAAAGTGAATCAGCATGAGACATCTCCTGGGTTAGGCTAGTTAAGTTGTAATGGAGAGTGAAACTAGATTGTGATCGGTTACTTAACCATCCGGTCTGTTACTGAAGAGAAAAACAGAGTGGAGACCTGTTAACAAAACATATGAAGCTTTGACTTCTCTGCCAGCCCAAAGTAAATATGTTGCGTAGGCTAACTGTTAGCATTGTCCTTTAGCCATGTTGACACACATTTTTTATCTGGTTTCAGGTTTGAACCTCCCCCTCCCTCCCTTCTCACCGGCCTCCCTCCCTGATCCTCCCTCCCCATTGGCTGCTGTTCTCAAGAGGGCGGGACAAAGAATGGGGTAAGAGCTGAGAGGAGCCAAGACGACACAAGCGGAGGAAACCCCCGAACCTGCACAGGTAAGACCCTCACTCACACCTTCAGAAACACAATGTGACACTCTCACACATGCATAGACGTCACATTATATTTCCAAAAAGCTGTGTAATATGTGTCCTTAAATGTCCTCACACTTAACAATAAGCCCTAAGGTTAACAATGTTTGGCAAGTAGGTTTACACATGCTAGGAATTTGCCTTTGGTGTTTAATGGTGATGTTGTTTAACGGTAGAAGCAGTATGAAAACTATAATAACATTTACAAAGGGTTAGGGACAAAACATTTAAATGTAAAATAAAGTACATATAATTTGATTCAATATGTGTGAAGATGGTTGATTTTGTGTTCAAGAAAACAACACAAATTTCCCTTCTACCATTTGTCTACCATGTCAGAACCCTGAAACCTCTGCTGAAACACACACACACACACACACACACACACACACACACACACACACACAACACACACACACACACACACACACACCCCTTTTTTACCTGCCACAGCCATTGTTTTCTATTTTCTCACACCCATCCCCCACACCTCCCTTCTGTGGACCTTTTATCGGGTGAACACAGTAATGTTCAAACACTGGCTGGCATTGTCTGGTCAATGACTGCCAGATATAATCACAGAGCTGCAGTCTCTGATGATTAATGAAACACAAAATCTGCATCAAAGTCCACCTGGCTCTCTTGCTGTTGCCAGGGTCTAACCTGCACTGTCAATGAATACTAACGATTGTCTGATCTGGATAACATATGTACAAGCAGATTTTTTTTTAAAGATTAGGTTAGCATTTGTAAGAAAAACACCATCACAGTTCAAATTGTGCTCTCTGAGTTTAAGCGTATTTTCCCCTGATTTTTGCTGCTAATTTTTCAGTTCTGACTCATTTTACTAAAAGAGTGCCTCAACCAAAACAAGAAGAATATTCACTTTGAAACACTAAAGAAACGTACTTTACACCATAACAGCTTTTCAGTTCCACGCGTTAATCATTATGATCGATTGTTGTGGAATTGTCAGGAGAACAACATGCTAGATAATGAATTGAAAACATTGGTTTTCTGGTAGAATGAAGCGGCATATTTCCTTTTGTATTAAGTATTTTACATTAAGTTCAGTCCATTGTGAAGGTTGGTATAAGTCAGGAATATATTGTTAAGCATCACACAAGGCCTGCATGACGCATTAGACTGCTATATTCATAATTCAACTAATGATACTGGGTGATCATTCTTGATTAAAATGTTTACTAGTCATTTATATATTAGACTAATTTCATCCTGGCAGGAAATGGGAGTGCTTGAGTAGAATCATGAGGTACTTCACCTAACTACAGTACTAAGGTTCATTTGGTTACTACTGATGCATAGTTTTTGTTTTTGGTGAAAGTTGCAACGAGAAAACCACAGAAACCACAGCAGCATCGAAACAGTTTGCATTTGAATAATGAAGGGAAAGCACGTTGACTTTGTGTGAGGGGGGTTGATTCAGTCAAAGATTAAAAGGCTTTATTTGTTGTATGCACAATGGCTACAGTCCGGATCCTCCCACAATGCAAAATACAATAAACGTATTTGTTTATTTATGTGCAAGCTCTGTTTCATGCTGCTGTAACAAAAGCAAAAACCTAATTTGGGATCAATAAAGAATATCTAATCTAATGTTATCGCAGTACTTTAACTCTCTGTATACTGTAAGTGCAGTATACATATATGGAAATAGGGACTATAGACAGATAAACAAATCAACAGTGTGTCATATTTGAATGGTGACACTTCAGGGGTTTAACAGTCTTATATCTGCTCTGTTTTATGGAATTAAAACTAAAACGAGTCTGCAATAGTTTCCAACACCTTGATCCAAACAGAGATGGCTGCCGTCTTCTCAAACAAAGTACCTCAATCAGTGTTCGATGTATTGTCCGCACTGAGACAGCAGATGTCCAGGCTGATGCAGGTAGGTGTATGTTTAGCGATGCTCGACTGATGCTTAATTAGACGTAGGGAAGCTGTGGTCTTGTCAACATGTTGTTCCTTCTGTACAATTACCCCTCCTACCCACTCATTTCCCAGAAGTCTCCTTGTTTGTACGGGGATGCAGAGGAGAGGGAAGAGTAGCCATCCATTTGGAAAAGAAAGGAGGCTGTCTGTGCTGTTCCTTTTTCCTTTTAGTCATACATATAACCCCGATAGACCTTCAGGGTGCTGTGGGGACCGCTCTGTTTGCATGTAAATGTGAGCAACATTTAAGAGGAGAGGAGGAGAGGGGGAATAATGATAAGGAGGAAAGAGAGCAAACAGGCTCAGCAGTGCAGACCTGTTGCTAGGAGAGAGAGAGAGATACATGATACAGAGGCAGGATGTGAACGTGCAGCGGTGCAGACGAAGATAAACACTCTGAAGCCTGAGTGAATTATACATGTGTTTACCAAAAGCAATTTTCAGTAGAAATGTTAGCATATACACACAGCATGTGAAGCTCTGTAAGCTGTTGAGTTTCTCTTTCTTTATGTTCCTTTTTTAGACTTTTAATTTAGTCACAATCAGAGATTTCCAATGTCAATTAGTTGGTCCGCCGCCAAAGGAACAATAATGAATCATCATCTTTTTGTTTCATGGATTAATCATTTCAGTCATTTTCAAGCAAAAACGACCAATATTCTTCTTGTTGTTTTTATATATGCATGATAGTATATATTTCTATATGGCTCCCTTAAAGGTGGGGTAGGTAAGTTTGAGAAACCGGCTCGAGATACACTTTTTGTTATATTCCATGGAATGCTCTTAACATCCCGATAGCAATGAATATCTGAAGTGCTTTGACAAAAAATCTATAAATAAATGTCATCTGTGGAAGCCGTGGCGCTGTAAAAAGCGCGACCAATCATCTGAGCCGGCCCGGCTAAAGTAACTGGATGGCCTACCTGCCTGTCAGCCTTCCATCTGTGCACAAATTTATCTCGTGCCCTCATTGGTCATGTTCGTGTGTGTTGGAGGAGGGGCTCTGTCAGGAAGTGGCAGATTTTTTCCGGCTGTGTATTTTCAAATTCTAGCGCACTCGAGCTGCTTTCTCCAAAATTACCTACCCCACCTTTAAGGCTCCTGGAGGTTTGAAATACTGTTCTTTATTCACTACTTTTTAATACATACTCGACTAACTACTAATCGTCATGTTATATAGTCTTACATCAAACTGAAATATCCCAGTATTGGATGGATTGCAGTACACTGATGTTTTTAATGATCCTGACTTTTCCTCTAGCGCCACCATATGGTTGACCTCTGTGATTTTAAGTGAATAGTTCTAACAACTTTTGGATGGATTGTCAGTAAATGATGCTTGATACATTCATTTCCCGACATCAGCTGTACTTTGTATTCATTCAATCAAGATAACATGCTTTAGTAACATGGCAACATCAGTATGTTAGCATTGTGAGCATGTTAGCATTTAGCATCATTCTGCAGGTATCACAGGGTTGCTATCATGACTGCAATCTTTTTCTTTTTTGCTAACAAGGATTTGACTTGGGAAGGGTCAAGAAGTAACAAAATAAATAACAGAAAATGCAATATGTATGACCATAATATCTCCCAGATGCAGAGACATTTTTGTCTTTCATAACTCGCCCTCTGGCATGTTGGCTGACAGTCAGAGCAAAAGCTGCACCTTACCACCATCCATCATATATTTCTATCACCAGTCGGATATCCTTTTTTTGTTTTCTCTGGTTTCAAGATGTTGTTTATACATGACACATGTTCTTTGATATTGATATCCTCACAATTAAACTGTGAAAGTTAAAGTGGACCTATCATGCTATATTTGAATAATATAGTGTAGGACCATACCTATATAAGGCATATTTATACTTTTTATTTTTCAAAATACCAAACAGATCATGCATTTTAGCCATTCCTCATTTCGCTCAATTTAACACTGTCTTTGCATGGGCTGATTCTGTGAGAACAGCACCATCTACAGGCCTGGCATATGTACTACAGCGTCTCCAGCGCTTTCCAACGGCAATGTCCGTGGCTGTCTTCTTCTGATTGGTGGAGTTGGCCCAATAGCCGTAGCGCCACTTCTGTGACGTCACAGAAGTGTTCAAATCTGGATCAGTCTGTATCAGATCCGTTGCAGCCCCTTTTTAAGAGATTTGGGTATGGAGGAAAATAGAGAGGGTTGTGTTTTCTGACACTTGGTGAGTTCCCTGGAACACCGGGGACACATATTCATGTAGAAAAGACGTACAAAAGTGCATTTTGCATGATAGGTCCCCTTTAAAGTAGGCCGTTGTGGTCATGTAGTGATCATGAGATAAGATAAGGTAGAACTTTATTGATCCCAATCTGGGCCATGTTTGTGTTGCAGCAGCATCAAAAGACATGGCATTGTACAATAACAATTAAAAGACAAGAAATAAACAAGAAAATATACATGTTGAATTTCCAAATGAACAACACCAAGATATAAAGCAAGGTATTGTATATACATAAGTATGTGACTGATGGAATATTGAATATTAAACTGAATATATAAGTGTGATTTTATTCCAAGAGAATAATGTAGTCTGTTTGGTGGAATTGTTGCGTGTCTTTACTCCTCCCTCCGATTTGTTTCCTGCCCGTGCTCTTCTGACAGCTATCAGTTTGTTTTAATAATCGTGGCTCGTTTAACGTCTGGTTGCTGGCCTAGAAAGGTTATTACCGAGAGAATTTCAATGATGTTGTCTATCAATGACTGAATGAGATCCCTACGAGTGGCTTCTGCAAATGTAGTCTAGGTGGAAGCATGAACAAGAGGAAAGAAACGTGGAATGGGAGGCTCAGAAAATAAAGGAAATGAGAATACAGACATTTTTAGTAAGAGGAGAAAAGAATGTATTCGGTGGATGTGTGCGCCTGCCAAGCAGAAACCTGAGGCAGACCCCCACCTCCTGAAAGGCTGTATTGTTTGTCCGGACCCTCTGCTCACATGCTGTCCTCATTTCTTTCTTTTTTTGTCCACTTGACTCGGCCAAAAAGGGGAAACCAAGGTGACAATACATCCTCAGATGACATTGGAACTGTCTACCAACCATTTTATTAAGTAAACATGGTACATCCTTAAACAAAAGACACATGGCAGTTTTCAACGGTTGTAATGCAAATGACTTAACATCAGTATAGGTTACATTATAACTTTTATTATGGCAGATAATTATACTAATTGTTTTAGTGTATTTAGTTTGGAATCTAGCTTGACCTCCCAGTTCATCTTTAATGGTTGTGATAACTGTCTGTCCGTGCACATGTCCTACTTCAGGGGTTCCCAACCTTTTTTCCCAAGAGCCCCCCAAATGACTCCTGTTGGAAGTTGGATTCATTCATTTGGATTCCCGCTGTATGAAGAAATTAAAGGACGGCGCGGAAGTGGAAACAATTCACAAAGGGATTAAACTGTTTAAAACACATGCTCAAAGTAAGCCGGAGTTTGCCGATGTGTTTGGGTGGATTCAAAAGTCGAAAATAATCTACAAAATGCAGGAGACCAATCTGATCGGAGCAACTGACAAATAATCCAACTGAAACCGGCATGGACAATGACTATGTTTTTAAAAATGCGCTTATCCAGAAAAGCATTAAACACTTCTGTCTTTTTATGTCTTTAACAGCTACTAACTCGAATTTTTATTAAAACTAATTAAACAATTATTTTTTATATTTTATCGTAATGTAGAGACAAGGCTTTTAGTGACAATCATGTATTGCATTACAATTATATGTAAAAAGTAAAAAAAAAAAAAAAAAAGTCTAAATATGATATTTGGCCTCAAATCATCTGAGGCCTGGCGCCCCCCCTGCGGCCCCCCCCCAAGGGGAGCGCGCCCCCCAGGTTGGGAACCACTGTCCTACTGGATAACTGGACTCTTGTTGGTTTGGATGGGAGTTTAAAGAATAAACCCAGCCCTCAATACTATATTTACAATAAATAAAGATGTTTATTCCGATTGGTCTAAAGTTTTGAAATCTTGAACAGATGTACTTTTGAAAGTGATAAATAAAAGGTTTAAATTGTGTTTATTGAATGTCTTCCATATTACATATTTTTGCAACACTTCATGGGGCTTCTTGTAGTTTCTGAGATGCAGCCATTTTCTTATCACTCTATATTTAGTCTTTGGGAGCATGGGTGTTCTTTCTGAAATACTATTAAATATATTGAAAACTGAAGTCATGCGTGTCCCACAACTAGATATAGTATAATGAGGAAAAGTCCCCTTTTCTACCAGACGTTTTAACGGATTTATTGTTATTTGTATATATTTGTATGGTGTGTGTTTGGCAAAGGGTTAGGAGAAAACTCCCACAAAATGGAAATCTAAATTTCACTTGGGAGCACAAATTGTTACACAGTGTGTTTTAATTGGTTAATTTGACCAAAAGCAACAAGTTAGTGGGATTGTATTGCAGAAATACTGGACAGAATATTTGTGATCTAACTCGTGGTTAACAGGTTAAACCCCAACCATCACCTGTCTGACGTGTATTTGAGACAAACTCGCTCCTGTTAATATGATATTTAGTCTCTTCCTTAGTTTCCCCTCAGCGTTTTTTAATCGATGTGTCTGCATCCTCATGACTCTGTGTCACAGTGGTCTTGTGGTTAAAACACATTTTCCCTACTTCCGTTCTCAAAGACATAAGTGAGGAAACTGCACACTTCCACATCGCTCCAGCCCTGACTGAGTGACCATACAAACAGAGACTTTCCCTGAAATGGAAAGCACATGATCATTACCCTAAACATCGATTTTCCCTTCAGGGATTCCTGTCAAGTCTGACCAAGCTCCTAAAAGGCGTGGATGCATGAAATATCTTCTACAAACAGGTCTTCACTGATAGTTCATGTGACACAGCGCTGTGACTGTACACCCATTGGTTAAAAGGAAGTCATTAAATGGACTTATGGTTGATGCTGTGAAGAAAAGTCTTCATGCAAACTCTGCATTGTAAATCTTAGGAGAGACAGGTCACTTTATTGTTACCTCTTGTAAAACAGTCGTCCTCTACTTGCCATGACTCCGTGCATGTGACAATTATTCAAATGATTTGATTTGTTTGCTTATTCAGGTCAGCAGCTGCTTTCCATGCATTTGCACTGTCAACCTGCTGTTGTGTTTGTGGACAGTACGTTAATACCGTGTGTATTCTGAAGTGTTTGTCTTTTTTTATTGTTATTTTTTTCAAAAATCTAATCTGGTGCATATGTTATTTCTAAGAAGCGCAATACAACCAGTAACCAAACTGTTTAATTTAAGGACCAACACAGACAGACAGAAAGCAGCTCCCCGCATGGCATGTTATAAAAAAGCATTTGAAACTTGTATGTATAACCACACAAACTTTAAATACAACTTCTACGCAGTAAAGAGTCCATTTTGTCCACGAGAAACCAAACACAAGTCCTTCCAGGTTATGAATCCACTTTGATACGGTTTAATGCAGCGAGCTATAGGGACCCAAAGTATTTTCCTTCTCCTCATCTTCTTCATCTTTCTGTGTCTCAGGTGGTGACGGCTGCAGGACTCTGTCATGGCGCTGCTGTGGAGGAGGTTGAAGCTTCTGGTGACGGTGATGATGGTCAACCTCTTCATCTTCATCATCATCTCCCGACAGAGCAACCAGGACAAAAACGACCGCAACAAAGTCCAAATCCCCTCCAAACCCTTCTGGAGCAAACTGGCTCCCAGCGTTGCGTACTGGAACCGGCAGCAGCAGGTCCTGGACCTCCAGAACAACCCGGTCCTGGTGGCCAACTACAGCCTCGCCGACACACCTGAGTGGTTAAATGAGACCGGGTTGATCTCCGACCCCTGCCAGCCTAACGTCAGGGTGACCACGCAGGTGAAGGACTACAACTCCCTGCCGGGGCGCTTCAAGGACTTCCTGCTCTACATGCACTGCCGCTCCTACCCTCTGATGGTGGACCAGCCGGCCGTCTGTAAGAAGCCGCCCTTCCTGCTGCTGGCCGTCAAGTCCTTAGCGCCACACTTCGACCGCCGACAGGCCATCCGTCAGTCCTGGGGCCGGGCCGGGCTGATAGCCAATCAGACGGTGGTGACCATCTTCCTCCTGGGTAACGCCACAGCGGGGGACCACCACCCGGACCTCTCCGAGATGCTGCGCTACGAGAGCACCCGCCACAAAGACATCATCCAGTGGGATTACAGGGACTCCTTCTTCAACCTGACCGTCAAAGAGGTGCTGTTCCTGGAGTGGATCCAGAGGCGCTGCCCCGGGGCCAAGTTCATCTTCAAAGGAGACGACGACGTCTTCGTCAACACTTTCCGCATCCTGGACTTCCTCAAGGGCCTCTCGGAGCCCAAAGCCAGGGACCTGTTTGTGGGCGACGTGATCACAAACGCTGGGCCGCACCGGGACAAGAAGGTGAAATACTTTATCCCGGAGAGCATGTATGTGGGGATGTATCCTCCGTACGCCGGAGGGGGGGGGTACCTGTACTCCGGGGACATCGCTGCTCGCTTACACAACGCCTCGCAGCACGTGGCGCTGTACCCGATAGACGACGTCTACACGGGGATGTGTCTTAGGAAACTTGGGTTGGCCCCCGAGAAGCACAAAGGCTTCAGGACCTTTAACATAGAGGAGAAGTACCGCTCGAACCCTTGCGCCTACAAGAGCTTAATGCTGGTTCACCCCCGGACCCCGCAGGAGATGATCCAGATCTGGGCCTGGCTCAGCAGCCCCGACCTCAACTGCCAGTGATGATACTAAAAAGACATTTTGAGGATGGTTCAAAGACAATTATTTTATTTTGAACAGGGTCGCGACTTAAGATTTGGCAGCTTTAAGTTCAGAAGTTATTAAAATGGTCACACGGTTAAAAGTCGATGCCTCTAGAGAAGAGGAAAGGATGTGATGCCACCAAAGTATTTTGACTCGATGTCAGGCTTACGTATCCCTAACCCTGCTTCACTGTCGAAACAAGCTTCACCAAAAGTGACCGCGGTCTTTCTCTGCTTGCACATATTTATATCGCAACTATTTATATGGCCTTTGTAAAGCTTTAACACTGTGTGTCTGCTCTGCGACGGGCCGTCACACACTGTCCAGTTTTCAGCACTCTCGACTGTATAAACATTTCAAAAGGTAAATAATTAAGTCACGGTTATTGCTGGAGGAGAGTGTGAGGTGAACACGTCCTCGTAACTGTTGCTGGAGGATTAGTTTCTGCTGCTATTCCCATCCACACTCCCTAAAGTATTTACACGTGGATCGCTTCAACTCAAACTAAGTCTGTTAATTTACAAAAACTAGTTTGTTTAACCTTAACTCCATCTTTCAGTTTCGGTAAGCTCCAAACGATTCAGTCTGTATTTGATATACCTGTAACCATTATGTTGAGCTGCGTCTCGTTTCTTTTTAACTGGTAGATAATGTTGCAACAATGAGTCCATAGAGCTTAATACCGGCGTGTTTTGAGGAGTGGATACACGCTTTGCTTTCAGGGAACAGGAATGTGAGTCCGGCTCTGTGAAGCTCAGCAGGTCTGGGCTTGGTTTTGAAATCCAAATGCTGATTAATTCTGCTTCAGGTTCTCATTTTACACAAAAGGACAAAGCTCATATGCACCTAAGTGCTTTTTTCTTCACACTGCTGAGCGTCTGTCTGTGAGGGAAGTGTTGAGTGCTGGTAAATGTTGCTTTAATGTCAGAGAATCCGAGGCTTAACGTCAAGTCTCTGCAACGTTCACTGATCATTTAAAGGCTTCATTTGAAAATGTTACATATCTGTTTTGTTGTCTTCGTGTTGTTGGTGAATGTTCAAAATGGTGGATATTATATTAAGGCTCACTACTGTACAGTCTTTAATAAGAGAAGCGGTGCACATATTTAGCGGCATCTGTTACGTATTTTCAGCTGTATGTGAAACAGAGTCAGTGAGAGGTTTCAGATGCACACTTTTAGATATCTCAGTGAAGGAGATGCTTCTTTCCGTTCTCAGACCCATCAGAGAGATCTGTCACATGAATGTATGTCTGTATACATATTTAAAGCCAATCCTCTGATTTATTTCAGTTCAAAAAGTGGATTTTCTACAGTATTTCTGCTCCAAATGTCCCTAGACCTGACCTATGACCTTCAGTGTGAATCTGGTGGAAACACTTTAGATCGTTGGCCTCTGTTAGAGCGCCCCCTGCTGGTCAGGAGGGTGAACATGTAAGACGATTAGCTTTACACACACTGATCAACTCCATGACCCAAAACTGGAGTGCTAGACCTATTTCATGCGTATAATGTTCAATAATCACATTCATTATGTCTATTTTTGACTCCTCTGTCTCTCCCAATGATCATTTAGAGCAACGTATGTCTCCATTTTTGTGTTATTTCTTTCCTTTATCGTTGTCAAGACATTTGGGTTTGGCTTTACAAGAAGTTAAGACAATCACGTTGAGGTTATTAAAGGTTATTTTTGTAATTATGGTTGTGTTTAATAACTGCTACTCCAGTCCTTACACAACGTAGGATTAAAGAAACACAAAAAGGTAACGTGTGCAAACGAGAGCTAAGAACAGACTGAAGGCTTAAATGACTCTCTTCACACACCAGTAATAGATTACATTGTGCTGCACACAGTTTGCGGCTACTTGAAATGTTTACATGCTTTTAAAAGTAATCATCACTTCATAAATGTTGCTTCTGTCTGATGATTGGCTGTAGAGGTCATTCCTAGAAACGTGTTGTGTTTGTTTCACAGGCTGACGTTCACTTTTTGAATGTTGATATTCAACATGTATCAGTCACTGCGCTTTTCGTTTGGAATGTAGCTTCCCACAGTTTCATTTGAAGGACCTTCTTCCTGTGTATACATACTCAGTGTTTCTCTGGGCTCAGCAGCCAGGATGTCATTTTGTTGAGCTTCTGTAGCTGTTGTTTCAGTATACAAAAACGACATATTACCATCTATGTGCATACAAATGTAACTGAAGCTCCAGGATTGTGGAGGGTGATGTATTACTCAATACGACAGGGAATTGTAAATCAAAAACAAAACTGCAAACTAGGGGGGAAATATCCAACAAAAGAAGAAGTTATCATGCTATAAAGTGTTTTTAATTAGGCAGGATTTATCTCAAGTCCATCCTTTTGAAGGACTTTAGCTAAATCCTTTCTTTAAAAACCATTAACGCATATTTACAAGTGTTCAGAGAACTTGTAATTGAATAAAGCATTTCCGTGTTACACCAGTCCGAGGTGAATACCAAATCTGTGCCTGATGTTTGTTTGTGCTGTAAGTGTAAGATTCATCCACGTTCAGTGTGATCGTTTTTTTTTTTATACCTAGAATGACTTGATTATTTCAATAAAGTTATATTTGCTGTTTCTGTATATACTGTTCTATGCATTTTTATTGTGAACCAAATAAATTATGTGAAGTAAGCGTTAAGACATTTTGTTGTGCAATTACTGTTTTGTTTTTTTTTAATGTATTTTATAATAGTCATATATTTTTCTGAAAACCGTCAGTATTATTTTACATTACAGGGTTAATGGTCATTAAAAACCTGGAAAGGTCATGGAAATTCAAAGTGCTAATTCCAGGCCCTGGAAAAGTTATGGAAAACAATATTTTTCCCAAAGTTTTGGAAAAGTCATGGAAATGTAACTAAAGTTGCATCAAATATAATTTATATTTTAGCTAATCGCCGAAATAGTAATACTATAATGATGATAAATACTGTATCGTATAGTAATGAAACGTAAAATGGCATTTAACTGTCGAGGTGTTTTGCTGGTGAGAGATTTGAGTTGCTTTAGCGTGTAGAAGTAAGCCTACTCTTTGATTTGTTTTAGATAGGCACAACATGTTTCATATGCAGACCTTATCTTCCTGTTCCATGTTCAAATAAACCATTTTCAGTGGTACCGCTGAGAAAGAGTGGTCATGGAAAATTAGGTAAAGGTCATGGAGAAGTCAATGAAAATCATTGGTGAAAAAGTGTATGAACCCTGGTTTTCATATACTCATTTTGAAACCAACAAAAAATATATCCTTCACATCGTTTTGGAGTTATTATTGCAGAAATTATTGAAAACTACATTTCAAATAGCAACACTCTTTTTTTTTAAAGGGACATTTATGCTAATTTGCAAGTCATTTAGCAGCAAATAAACTAGTGAATTTCATCTTTAATTTGGCATGTGTTGCCTTACAACAAAACAATGTCTACTTTTGAAAGACTATCACCCCCTACATGTAAATAGTTTAAGCATAGGAGGATTTTTTCTTCTCTGATTGATTTATTTTGAAGATTTTGAAAGAGGTGAACATGCTCTGTTTTACATCAAAACAAAAATATGCAAAAAAAAATTCTGGCAATGTATAAAACTAGAGATGACTTGAAGATAAGTAGTTAATAAAAACTGCATTAACATCTCAAAATGTTATTTTCTGTCTTGCAGTGAACTCATTTAAACAGCAGAGGGCAGCAGTGTGCTTTAGAACAGACTGCAAAGACTCCGCAGGTACTGATTATGTATATATTGTAAATACAGTATTGTGTTTAGTAGTGTAACTGGAAATTATAAATCAAAATAGCCCTTTCTGAACCAGTTTATCTTTATTTTCGATTTCATTTTGGTAAGTATCTCCTATAATTTGAGTGCTGCAGGTGATCATCACTCCTGACTCACCGCTGCCAGGAAGACAGGATGATAAACTGAGCTTCAGTTCTCGGAAATTGACAAGACACACACACACGCACACACACACACACACACACACACACACACACACACACATACACATACACACACACACACCTGTATGTCCTGGTCTCAGGAGGTTTCACTTACTCATCTGTCATCTAAATGGATGCAATCTCTATCTGACTATCGAAGCAGATCACACATCTAAAACACACGTTCAAACACAGCACATTCATTGTTTAAAGCTTTTCGAGGCTGTTGGAAAGCCTCTGGCATCAACTGCAGATCAAATGAAGAAAAGCAGTTATTCAGGCTGAAAGGAAATAATTAGTAAATGTCCTAAATAAATCCTGTGGCACCAAACAGAAATAAAAGGAGAACAAAAAAGGACATTTTGTATGGCTCTGTGAAACCAAAATAAGTGTGAAATGATATTACCAGTGCACAATTTCATACTCAAAGTAACTGAACTATAGACTCAAGATTCAAAAGCTTTGTTGTCAGATGCTTTATAGATTAAAGAGTAGTTTTAACAGTACAACATACAATATACTCAAGAAATACAATACATTCAAAAAATGGTGAAAGAGAAAAAAATATGCAAGTAAAATGTAGAAATAAGTAAATTAGAAGTAAAATAGAGTTGTTGTTGTTGTTGTTGTTGTTGCTTCATTTGTTGTTCCACCATCCCCTTTTCTGCTTATTTCCTGCAGTGGGATTTATAAAGGATTATCTTATTTTGTACTGTTTGTCACGTTTACTCAAAATGCTTTTAAGCCAACGTTTGACATGTTGGGTTGAAGAAACGTTCCCCTAATGACAAACAGCGTCTCATTCCTGCAAACAAAAACGCTGGAAAGTCTTTCCTTCTTTTTCCGAACTGGAACAGCGAGGAGGAAACAGTGGCTCTCAGTGAGGAGGAGGTCTGCCTGCTGGAGGATGTGAGGTGGAGAGAGTGAGTCACTCGGATCCAAATCGCCACTTTCCAGCTTATTCACCCAAATGCAGGAAATGTCTGTCTGTTCATGTTGAAATGCCACAATATGACAGGTAGTGGTTTTTCAGCCAATAAATACAGTGTTTGAGATTGTTTCTGAGATGTTCTGACCAATGTGTGAATGCAAATGAAAAATAGCGTAACGTGTTTCCATAAATTGTGTTTCCTTGTTCTTCAGGATTATCCAAAGGCCTCACTGTTAGAAGCTTTTTACCGAACAAATACACATTTTGTTCATACTGGAAAAGTTGACTTCCAATATTATGTCTGGTTATATAAACAATCTGTCTGGTTAGTAGCAAACTAAACCGTGTAAACAGAAGTGACAATGACTCAAAATGTAATGCTGTTTTGTTATTACAAGCTGCACACATGGCTACGTGTGACCAACAAGCCTAATCCAATTTTTAAGATGTATTTTTCTTCAGAAAGGTTCATTTCTGTCACTTCTCAGTAACATGTTATTTGATTTTAAGTTGTTTTATATGCTCAGGTACTGGTCAATTTAGAGACAATGCAGCAAATGCATTGATTTAAACAAAGTACATATTAATTTTTACATTACATGTTACTTGTTAGACGTTTTTATCCAAAGCGACTTACATACTCAATACTGTGGGCAATCCCCACAGGAGAAATTTGGGGTGAAGTGTCTCAGGGACACAACGATGGGGTTCGAACCTGGGCAACCCTGATCCCAACACCAACCCACAACCCACTGCACCACACGCCTCGCCTATGTCTGTCACATAGATGACACAGATCGAGAAACAGAGTATTACACGGGGAAAATTGCAAGAAAGATATCAGAAAAAGCATGCAATATTCTAATTAATGCCTTAAAATCAACAGAAATAATAGTGAACATTTTGTTCTACAGCTCCTCGCTCCAGGCCAGTAGGTGGCGTTAATGCATTAAATAGCTGGCTGAAAACTGCGAATTAACCTGAAACAAAAGTGTCTATGGTTTTGCTCCTCTGTGTGGGGTTAATTGTGCGATGATCTGCTAGTAATGCCTTGGCACTACTGAAGGTGTCTCGTTTAAGGTAATTATCTTTTTAAAAGTAGCCTACTATACTGTTTGGTTAACTTATTTTGTTTGTACTGTATGTCATTAGCATTTAAGCTAGGCCTATGCTGGTGTGCGTTGTATCACTGTTAATTCACTGTTCATGTGTAAAATGGGTTAAAAAGTTCAAATATATTTCATAAGTAAGAGTGAATGCTGTAGGCTAAGTTGAGAAAATAGTTGAACAAATATATTTATTACCAAAACTGTCTGATCATTTGGATTGGAAATTCTGTTGTACTTGTGATGACGAAAGACACCTGGCTAATTGCTGCAAAAAGTATGCGCTATTGTCCGATTTTATTTACTATTATGTAAAAGCGATACAGCTGTTAGAACAACTTAAAGCCACACATGTTAACATTAAGATAACAGCTTAAAAATGAGTAAATCTGAGATGTATATTGTTGAAACTGTATTCTCTCAATTAAAACATATTTGTAATGCAATAAGAAACAGTTTGCTCAAGAAACACTGATTCTAGTAGTAAAAATAACGATCCGGCGTAATCTCAAACCCTTGAGACGAACACTTTCTGCTCACAGGAGGGAAAGAAGAAGAGTCATTTACTGAAACCATGGTGTAGAAGCAGTGTCCTGGAGAGGAGGGAGTTATGATGGATGATCCGGCTCCTGGCTTTAATGATCATATAGTTTACAAGCTGTGTCTCACAGGGAGGAAGTTGTGCTCTAATTCTCTGCATCCGTTGGAGGGGGAGAGACATGATGAGGGAAGGGAATGAAAAGGGAGGAAACAGAAGAAGAAATGAAAGGAAGGCTGGGGAGGCAAAAGAGGAATACAGGGAGGAGGAGGAGAGGGAAAGTGAGGAGGGTCTCTGGAGAGTCGTAGCAGAGGCTATCATCAGCCTGACTCTGGTATAAAAGGATATTAAAATGCAAAGATTGCAGTTCCCTGTCGCTGCAGCAGACTTACAATCTGTGTTTGACTCCTCTGCAGCACACAGGAGAGGAACCATTAAATACTGGTGCCTGTCAGAGTGGGTTTGCTATTGAAATAGAAGCTAAAAAAGTGGTGCAGGAATGATCTGAAATAAGGTCTGTGGTTAACACAAGATTTTAAAGTTTTGTTTTACGACATAAAATCAATAAATTCCCCACTGCAAAACATCTGAAGCTTATATGTGTTTTAAAAATGGATGCTAACAAGAAATAGATTGATTCTACTAAACCTCATCCTGCTGAGCATTAGTCACCTTTAGCCATGATGTCGTTTCTTGATAGCCTAACGTTAGCTTTTTTCGGCCATTGCGTTTTCGCTTAAAACATGATAAACCTGGTGCTCATACAGTATGTGGAGATTATCTAGCTGTACAAAATGTTTTAGTGTCATAAACATGTGTTTGCAGAGTCAATTTCCTGCAATAGTCCAATGGAAAAACCCCAAAGGATCTTGTTTTGGGGTAAGCAGAAAGAGGCTAACATTCGAGTCTCCCTACGTTTGTTGGGAGACTCGAATGTTTTGTACACGTCATCAAGGAACAAGGACTCGTTCAACCCGGGAACATGCACTCATGATCCAGGATGTTCTCTAGAGATAAAAAGCAGTTGAAATGTTAAAGACTGTGTGACCTCTGCTGGATGATTCATTACC